AACTGCGTGAAACACACAGGCGTATCAAAATGCAACTGCGTGAAACACACAGGTGTATAAAAATGCAACTGCGTGAAACACACATGTGTATAAAAATGCAACTGCGTGAAACACACAGGTATATAAAAATACAGCTGCGTGAAACACAGGCGTATAAAAATGCAACCGCGTGAAACACACAGGTGTATAAAAATACAACTGCGTGAAACACACAGTAGTGTAAAACTTCAACTGCGTGAAACACACAGTAGTATGAAACTTCAACTGCGTGAAATACATAGCAGTATGAAAATTCGGCTGCGTGAAACACACAAACTTCACGCATGCATGGAGTGTATGGAGTGTACGGGAGTGATTCACGCAATGGTGCGAATAGTCACGGCCAATTTATTTGTTGGTGATGAGTAAACTGTCCTGTTGGTGTGCTAATGATTGATAAAGAAAATATATCAAATGAATATTGTTAATTATTGAAAAAATGGTCTAATTTACAGGATGATAGTTAAGAATTGGTGATGACACAATTTTCGTAAAACGAAAAATTCTTCATAGAGCACTTGAATGGTTTAATTAACAGAATAAAAAAAAAATTTAGCATTTCGTAATGGTTAACAATTCACGACTCTTGAAATGATAATTAACTTCGCATACAAATAATAAAATATCAACTCCAACTCCTATTAATTATCAACAAATAATTGCGAGCGAGTTATGAATACAAAACGAAATAATTAATTACCAACATTTTCCTATGGACAAATGTCAGAGTTGAGTATGAAATGAATATCCTCCCATAGATGACACATAAATGGTAATTCATAAATTTCGCATGACCAATCCACAAACAATTTCCACTGAAAACTTCTATCATTCCACACAAAAGACCCAATTTTAGTAAAACGAAAAATTCTTCATAGAGCACTTGAATGCTTCATTAATATTTAATCAAATATTATTTAATTGACAGAATAAAAAGAAACAAATTCACTATTTCGAAATAGTAAACAATTCACGACTCTCGAAATGATAATTAACTTCATATCCAAATAATAAAGTATCGCCCATCAACGGTTGTTAATTAGAAACTAACAATTACAACTGAGTAACGAATACAAAACGAAAAACTTCACTATCACCATTTCCTCAGCTGGGGTTGGGGTAAAATGGACACTTTTGAGTTTTATTACAATGTTAATGACGGGTTGAAATGTTGATGAAATTTAATCTTTTTTTTTTTCAATACAAACAACAATTCTCTCCCTTTGTGATGAGCTTAAACTGATCTTAATTAATAAATTTGTTTCTGAGTTATGAATAATTTTCAAAAGTCTAGTGTCCATTTTACCCCACCCTCCCCTAATAATAGGTAATTTCAATTTCTCAATCACTGGTTGATGAAATAATTCGAAATTTGAACACTCAAGTTGATAACAGCTAAAATAATGTGAAATTTGAATATTTAAATTAATGGTTAATTTAATAATAAAAAAATTGGTGACTAATATTATCAACTGACTCATCAAAAATTTAACTGTAGGGGAGAGTGGTGTAAAATGGACACTTTTGACTTTTCTTTTAATGTTAATGATAGGTTGAATTGTTGGTGAAATGTTTTTTTTTCATTTTTCAATAAAAAGAACAATTCTTTCCCTTTGTGTTGAGCCTAAACTGATTTCAATTGATAAATCTGTCTCTGAGTTATAAATATTTCTTTAAATATCAAGTGTCCATTTTACCCCGCCCACCCCTAATTAAAGCCAACCGACAGAACATCCCCCAAACAATTTCCCCTGCAGAAACCCCTATCACAGGCCACGAGTATTGCAATTTCGATAAAATAATAAATACCTACATACCTTTGTACAGAGACGTGACAGTTCCAGCGGCTGTTTGAAACGGTAACCAGAGGGATGCGCCCTGTGTGCGATCTAAACCCCAGAGGCAAAAAATTAAACACCCTCAATAAATAAATCCCCCATTCCGCCCCAAATAAACTTCCCAATGCCCCCCAACCCCCGATTTAATCAGCAAAAGTGCGAGACCCCAACCCCATTAATAAAGAAAAAGGGAAAGGGAGTGCGGGTAAACGGCCTTAAGGACGAGGACGAAGGTGGGGTCAGTTCTGGAATGAAACAGAACCAAAAAAAAAAAAAATCATCTCTTTCTTATTCCTTGCCTTTGTAGAGCTGTGCAATGGCTGAAGCCGTTGTCTGAAAACCCGTCCATATCTGTTGAGAATAAATTTCCTTTTCATTGTGCAACTGGCTCTCATAATCGGGCTCCGATTCGATCGCCTCGACACACTGCTGCTCCCAATTGCTGTACCACAGATCCATTATCGGATCCTCATCGCTTCTGTCGTGATCACTCATTGCACTATTTTTTTTAAAGCTAAAAACGCACTTCACACTTTTTTCTTCTCTTCCGTTCTGAATATTCTCAACTCTCCTGGCAACACCCACACGTTATTCACGATCGATTGGGGATGGGTGATGGGGGCGATGGGGATGTGATCGGGGACTGTTCACCGGGGGTTATTCCAGGGGATTTAACACACTAGGCACCACTACCCCAGGAGAAAACAAAACTTCAATCCCACACGACGAAGGTCAGGTTGCGGCCATTACGAACGATTCCCGTTTGTCTCTCACTGTTTTACGCCACGAACTATGTATGTGCGTCGAAACATCTGGGGGATGGATTAATGATTGAAACACCTTTGGGGAAGGGGAACTCGTTGCATCTGCAGAGGACTGGAATTATCTCGCTATTGTTTTTTTCGGGGGAATCGCACTTTTGGGAAGAGGGCTTTGGAGTTTGTGGCGCACAGCCTCCCACCTGCACCTGAATGCGTTTTTTACGTTTTTCTGGGGAACACGAGTTTTTAACCCCCCACTACTACGTCTATTGATGCGCATGGGGACGGGGCGCGTTCGCATTGACCGACCGGGGGCAGCATTATGCGACAGGACCGTCATTTTGCGGTCATATGACATCTAGAGGTGCAAAATGACCGTCATTTTTTAGATCGCGTCATATGACCAAAAATCTTGATCATCAATTTCAAGAAAATCTTGAGATAGTTACACAGAGTTATTCCGAATAATCTATATTTTCTTTCATTGATTCACTGAATTGTAATAATAATTTTCATCACGCTGTGACAAAAGTGAAATTTTCGGCACGCTCCGCGTGCCTAAAAGTCCAATTTCCGCCACATTGTGATGAAAAATATTGTCCGTAACTCGTGAAAAAATGTGAAAACTCAAACTCGTGAAAAAATGTTTTTTAGCTCGAAATATACTATTTCATCACGCTGTGCGGAAAAGTGATTTTTCAGGCACGCTCCGCGTGCCTAAAAGTCCCTTTCCCACGCATTGTGATGAAAAAAATCGTTCGATACTCGTGGGAAAAGTGTTTTCCGGCTCGTAGGATTACATCACTCGCCTTCGGCTCGTGCTATAAACCCCTCACGAGCCAAAAAACACTTTTCCGCACTTGTATCGAAATATACTAATTCGTAACTCGTGAAAAAATGTTTTTTAGCTCGTGGGATTATATCACTCGCCTTCGGCTCATGATATAAACCTCCCACTCTCCAAAAAACACTTTTTTGCACTCGTTACGAAATATACTATTAAATATTCTTAATTATAACTTTATTATTCTTCTACTCGGTCACGTAGTACTTATTGAATTTAGTGCCAGCGGCTCTCCGATTCTGTTTCTCAAGGTAATTACATTATCGGTCGTCGATCCAACAGTATCTACACTTTACCAGGTAGACGCCTCATCTGACCGTCATATAACGGGTCATGTGACCCATTCCCATCCGTTATCTGGAGCATAAACAATGATCTGGAGTTGTTTTTTTCGGAGTTTTGATGGTTTTTTTTCGATTTTGCGGGGGTTTGGGAGGGTTTTTTGGGTTTAGTATCGGTTTCAGAGAGTTTGTTTTTGGTTTTGGTTGGTGGGGGCAAAGGGAGATGGCGTTCGGGTTGACGGGTTTCGAATCTCCCGGCCGATGGCAGGTTTAAATAGAGGAAACATAATGGGTTGTTGAATGTTTCAGAATTATTTTTCGTGTTTTTTAGAAATTGTTCGTCCGTGGGGTGCGAGTATGACACCGGAGAGGCGGGATTTTCTCCGGGAAATGGCGGGATTTTGCGGGGCAATGGCGGAGAATAAAGATGGCGGCAGTCCGGTTCGCGGATTTGGCGGGTGATTGTTCGTGAGAGTTTTTGGACTGTTTTTTTGAGGGTTTTTGGGGGTTTTGAAGGGGTATTGGATGTCGGGGGATGAGGGAGAGTGAGTGGTGTGTTTCTTTTTTATAAAATTGTAAGAATTGTTGAGGATTTTTGGGGATGTGGACGTATTGATCGGCGATCGGCGGAGGCGAGCGTGTGCTAAGTGAATTTTCTTTGTTTCCAGTGAATATTTTAGACACTTTGAGATTTTTGACACCTAAACAATTGTAGAATGACTTCGATTCTTTATTTAAGTGACGATGTGATAATTATATGATTTCTTTGGACTATTGGGGAGGGCTTTGGGTGTCAACGAGAGGCTAGTGACGAATCGTTCGTTGTTGTCATTTTTTTCGTGTGAAGTGAATTTTCTTTGTTTCCAGAGAATATTTTAGACACTTTGATGAGGATTTTTTACACTTGAAAAATTGAAGAATAACTTTGGTTTTTCGTTTGTGTGACGATGTGATAATTATAGGATTTTTTTGGACTATTGGTGAGTGTTTTGGGGACGAATCGTACATTGTTCTCATTTTTTTCGTGTTGATTTCCTTGTCATTCTTGTCATTTCCTTGTCATAGATTTTCGATCCAATGTTGAATAATAATGAGTGTTTTGCTGGTGGATCATTCACTTCGTATTTTTGGGGATTGAAAGGCCTCTGATCGATAATAATCAGTGAACGTGAGTGGGTGAAGTGAACTTTCCTTGTTCCCAGTCAATATTTAAGACACTTTGAGATTTTTGAGACCTAAACAATTGAAGGATGACTTCGGTTCTTTGTTTAAGTGACGATGTGTTAATTATATGATTTTTTTTGGACTATTGGGGAGGGTTTTGAGTGTCAAGGAGAGGCTAGTAACGAATCCTTCATTGTTCTAATTTTTTTTTCGTGTTCATTTCCTTGTCATCCTCGTCATTTCCTTGTCATGGATTTTCGACGGAATGTTGAATAGGGGAGGATGGGGTAAAATGGACATTTTTTTTTTAATATTCATAACTCAGAAACAGATCTATCAATTGAGCGCAGTCTGTGCTCATCACAACGAGGAATCATTGTTCTTTCTATTGGAAAATAAAATTATTCCATTTCATGAGCAATTCAACACGGCATGAGCATTACAAAAAAAGTCAACAGTGTCCATTTTACCCTACCCTCCCCTATAATGAGTATTTTGATGATGAAAATATCATCATTCACTTCCTATTTTTGAGGATTCAAAGGCCTCTGATTGGTAATAATCAGTGAACGAGAGGGAACTTTCTTTGTTTCGAGTGAATATTTTAGACATTTTTAGATTTTTAACACTTCAAATACTGGAGAATGAGTTGAGTTTTTTAATCGTGACAATTGGATAATTTCGTTTTCATTTAAAATCATTTTTTTCAATTTTTTATTTTCGATTGGATTGTTGTCAATGTTTTTTCGTGTTTATTCCATTGTCATAGATTCTTGCTGCAATGTTGAATAGTGATCAGTGTTTTGTTGGTGAATAAATCATCATTCAGTGAATATATTCGTGAAGTTGCAGACATTCAGATAATTAGTGAAAGCGAGTCAGCTAAAGTGAGCTTTCTTTTTCATAAGCAGTGCTTCTAGAGTTTAAATTCCTATTCACTTAATTTCAGAGTTTATTAGCTACTTGATGATTTTAGCCATTTAATTGAAATAAGTAGAAGCAATTCCACTAATTTTTCTGTTATCAGTGAATAATTTTACCAACAATTTTTGAATTGTTGACAATTCTTTTTCGTATTTAATTTACATTTTTTATTCTCATTAAAATATTGTATAATATCGAGTATTTTTTCATTAAAAATAGAATCTGCAAATTTATTTTTTCATTCAATTTAGAGTATTTAATCGATAATCAGTGAATAAAACCGATGAAAATGGCATTCTCTTCCTGACAGTCAGATATTTAATAGCTGTCCAGTGGTTTTAATATTTAAATTCAGTGAATTAGTGCCAGTTTCATCGTTAAGGAATATTTCTGAACATCAACAATGAAGAATTACCTCGAACGTTCCAGACGATCATCAATTGTTGGAGACATCGGTGAGTCTTTCTTTTTACATTTTGTATTAGAAATCGATAATAGCGCCACAAAAAATTATGAAATCATTGTAAATGGTTATAACGTCATGCGAAAGATAATGAGTCATGATAAAACATTGAGCCATAATTTATTCGCTCAGATATCATAAGACACATGAGAAAGTTCAACGGAAAAAATTCGCCCGGGAAAAAATTCCGGAAATTTTTGAACGGGGAAAAAACTCCGGCCTCGAAAGAAAATAAGTCAGGATAAAACATTGAGCCATGATTTATTCGCTCAAACATCACAAAATACGTGAGACTGCCAATCGTCATAAAAATCCATATACTAAAATTTTTTCGTTGTATACAAGCTCTCAATTATGTATAAATCATGTGAATACTCACCCTCAATTACTATTCATAAACTATATATTCTATAAATTCATATTTTCCTAAAATTGAGAGTATTCGATCGATAATCAGTGACAAAATCTCTCAAAACCAGATATCAAGCAGCTAACGAGCTGTTCAATGTCTTTAATATTTCAATTCAGTGAATTAGTGCCAGATTCATCATTAAGAAATATTTCTGCACATCAACAATGAAGAATTACCTCAAGCGTTCCAGATGATCGACAACTGTTGGAGAATCGGTAAGTCATTTTTTTCACATTTTGTCCCAAAAACCGCTGATAATATAAAAAATTGCATTAAACAATCTTTAACGACATATTAAAATAACCTCGTGCAAAAGAAAATAAGTCATGATAAAACACTGAGCCATGATTTATTCGTTCAAACATCATAAAACACATGAGACTGCCAATCCTCATAAAAATCCATGTATCAACAATTTTTCGTTATATACAATCTCTCAATTATGTACAAATCATGTGAATCCCCTACAATTATTATCTATAAGCTATATATTAAGTACAACGATCGGCTTCATTAAAATCAACGTCGAATATCGATTATCACATCATGAGACAATTAAATTTCGATTCTTCACGATTGAATTGAAAAATGCGAGGGGAATGCAGCACATGGGCCCATGGGATTGAACCGTAAAACTATTATGAATCATTGGACAAAGGGTACAGTGCTATTGCACAGAACAGAGTCTCATCATCTCATCAACTCGCCTTCAGTAATGACGCACAAACGGGTCGCTTGAATTATGCGCAGATCTGTCCAATTTATCATAACACATAACTCGTAGAGTAAATTATTGTCCTCGCTATCACTTGAACAGCATTATGCCATCATCACTATTTTCCCATTTCGCTTTGAGTATTTTTTTCCCCTTGAAATTGTTCAGCTGATGTCCTCCAAAACCCTGAAGATCTGAATGTTGGTTTTTAACGGGGAAATATGTCACATGAGTCCCTCTTCGCTAGTGGCAATGCCATTGCTACCGACTGATAATTTCTCTGGGAGACATTTCATTATCGTTGGCTCTATCAGCTTCCATACCTCCGCTAGCTGCGAAAATAAATTGTTTGTGAGTCGGAGAATTATTGGGGATGGCTTCCCACAGTAAAAGCCTTGGAAAGAATTTTTTTTTTTTCGATTGATGGACAGAGTCCATTATTATCCCTT